CCCCTCCAGACTACTGGACCATCCATCAGGTTGTCCACTGCAGGCCCGGCGAGGCCCATTATCCCCTTTCCCTAATCAAGAGGTTGTCGCACAGTGAGATATTGCCGCCAGCTGCCTCCCCATCACCTCGGCCGCATCGATTCTCCTTGGCTTGCTGGCATCAGGTGAGGTGGTGCAGAGTTGCGGCCGCTGTGTGGAAACGGGACTCGCACCTTTTTCAAATTTGGCACTGTCAGCGTTTGAGCTGCTGCCGCCAAGTCGGTTTTCTCTAACAATAATAAATAAATAATAATTTTTTATTTATATCCCGCCCTCCCCAGCCGAAGCCGGGCTCAGGGCGGCTAACAACAATAAAATAAGACACATTTTAAAATAATTTCATTAAAAAATTACTTCGAATCAAATTGATGGCAGCCATTGGGTAGAGTTCTGTGAAGATTGCCAAAGGAGGAAGTCAGACTGTGCCCTGGCCAAAGGCCTGGTGGAACAGCTCTGTCTTGCAGGTCCTGCGGAAAGATGTCAAGTCCTGCAGGGCCCTAGTCTCTTGTGACAGAGCGTTCCACCAGATCGGGGCCACAGCTGAAAAAGCCCTGGCTCTGGTTGAGGCCAGCCTAACCTCCCTGTGGCCTGGGACCTCCAAGATGTTTTTGTTTGAAGATCGTAAGTTCCTCTGTGGGACATACCAGGAGAGGCGGTCCCGTAGGTACGGGGGTCCTAGGCCGTATAGGGCTTTAAAGGTTAAAACCAGCCCCTTAAACCTGATCCTGTACTCCACCGGGAGCCATTGCAGCTGGTATAGCACCGGGTGAATGTGATCCCACGGCGAGGACCCCGTAAGGAGTCTCGCCGCAGCATTCTGCACCCGCTGGAGTTTCTGGGTCAGTCTCAAGGGCAGCCCCACGTAGAGCGAGTTACAATAATCCAGTCTGGAGGTGACTGTCACGTGGATCACAGTTCTCTAGACCTTTTGCAACCCAGGGGGGGGGGGCACATCCCCACCTGAACAGTCTTCCGGGGCCACATCAATGATGGATACAGCGAAGAGCGAAGTGGGAGGAGCAATTAATATCAGTTTTACCTTTGTGCAGTAGGCTGGTTTCTTCAGGCACATGCATGAGAGATAAGGTTTCCTAAGACATGAAATTGAGATTGATCCGGCAAGAATCAATATTTTGAGTGTAATTGACCCTGTATAGGAAGGCACTGTCCAGCTCAGACAGATATTGGAGGTGCAACACAGAAAATGCCTCGTTGAGGCGTACAAGGTGGGCTTTTCTGTCCGAAGTTGTTATCCACATCAGTTTTGCATTGACAATATCCCTGATATTTGCAGGTGTTTGTGTACTTTCATATCATCTTCCTGCGGCATGGCGATTAACGGCAGGACAGCAAAAGTAGATTTTGCAAGCACGTCTGGTTGCTAAGAGACTTCGAGCCTGGAAGGATAAATACCCACTGTCTACTATGCAACGGTCTGAGGACCTCTCTGCCCTGACAACATTGAAAAAAATATTTTATATGGACATCAGTTCCATGTGGACATTTTGAATACCTGGAGGGCTTACATTTATTTTAAGGTGCATATTCTGACGATGGCTGTATCCATAATATGAACTGATAGTGTGTGTGTTTTTGTTAGTAATATTCATATATTATTCCTATTCCTTTATTTTAGTGTCTCTTAAATTCCCCCTTCCTTTCCTTTGTTAAATTTGCAAATAAAACATTAGTAAACACACACACACACACACACACACACACACACCTCTTTGTTGTCTGTCCAGCAGGAGAGATGGTCGGAATTCAAGGACAAATTTCAGCTGAATTTGGGGTGCAAAGTGGGGCAATTGAGGGGTGTGGCCTGTGAAGAAGGGGTGTGGCCAGCAGAGAGTTCATAGAAGGATGCACTCCTGGGCCTGAGAATACCCAACCTCACTATAGACATACCGTATTTTTCGCTCTATAAGACGCACCAGACCACAAGATGCACCTAGTCGCACCTAGGAGGAAAACAAGAAAAAAATAATTCTGAATCTCAGAAGCCAGAACAGCAAGAGGGATCGCTGCGCAGTGAAAGCAGCAATCCCTCTTGCTGTTCTGGCTTCTGTGATAGCTGCACAGCCTGCATTCACTCCATAAGACACACACACATTTCCCCTTACTTTTTAGGAGGGAAAAAGTGAGTCTTATAGAGCAAAAAATACGGTATTTAGTAAACATAGTTCTGGGCTGTACTTTCTTGGAATGGGAAGGGGATGAGGTGTCACTCAACTGAATGCAAACCTTTCCCCCAAATCCTTGCACCTAGGTAGCTGGGATGTTGGGGACAAGCCTAGGCTATAGAACCCTTCTCCCTGACAGGCTAGCATTCCGGGTGCGGGGATGTCTTTCAAAGTGGCCAATTGTGAATGAAGGCCACATTCATTGATTTCTGTGTGGCAGGGGTCTTCGCTTATTTCATACAGTGGTGCCTCGCAAGACGAAATTAATTCGTTCCGCGAGTTTTGTCGCCTTGCGATTTTTTTCGTCTTGCGAAGCACGGTGTCGGGAAAGTTTTGGGAAAGCTTCAAAAATCACCAAAGTCTTCAAAAACCTCAAAAAAGGCTACCACACCACGTGCTATGAGTTGCTCCTCGAAGTCAAGTCGCAACTGTATTAACGGTGTTAAGAAAAAGGAAACAAACTTGCAAGACGTTTCCGTCTTGCGAAGCAAGCCCATAGGGAAAATTGTCTTGCAAAGCAGCTCAAAAAACAAAAAACCCTTTCGTCTTGCGAGTTTTTTGTCTTGCCAGGCATTCGTCTTGCGAGGTACCACTGTACAAGGATGAACAGGGTGGCTATAAAACTAACTATCAAATATAATCCATTCCAGGAAAAAAAATATAGACTAATAAAAACTCGGGACAAGAACAACAGATAAAAGAGACGCGTTAAATAAAGCAGTTTGTCTGTCCAGTAAACCAGCTTTTGTTAACCAGGTGCCCTCAAGATATTTTGAATATTTCCCATCTGCAGCTGAGGCTGATGGGAATTATAGTTCAAAACAACTGGAGGGAACCAGTTTGGTGACATGCTGTGTGGTTTCTTGTTTTTGTTGTCATCCTATCTACAAAAAATTATGATTAGGTATAGATAGATTAATAGGGCATTAAAGGGAAAAATAAGGCCAGAATGTGTTAAGATAATTATAGGATAGAAAATAGAGGAAGATGGAGAGGAACTGCTGAAACAATTAATAGAAGTGGAAGACAAAAAGGGAGGTGTGAGGAGGTCGTGGAAACATGTGAATGAAAGATAAGTTATTGAAACTGGATTGTGTTTTGAATGGTTTTTGTTTTGTTTTGTTAATTGCTTGGGTTAGTGTTGTGTAGTGTTTTTTGTACGGTATTGTATTGTTGCATTGTTTTTTGTTTTGTTTTTTTGTAGTGTTGTGTTTAAATTGTTGAAAATTAATAAATATTATTTAAGAAACAAACAAACAAAAAATTATGGCTATTCGTGAAGCTGTGTGCCTTGAATTTTGTAGTGCTGGGAAGCACTGGATCTATTATTTTTGCTGTGCTTTTTACCGCTGTAATCTTAAACAGGATGGTGGTCGTGGGCGAGCCTGTAAAATCATGCAAATCCATGAGGATCCATTTCAGTTTTGGGTGGATCTGACTTTCCTCCCAACCCTGTGGAACGAAAGACGATGCGTGCTTTTTCTGCCTATGATTGCGAGGGAACGGGGAAGAGACTGACCAGTGGAAGGTGGGGTGAAAAACAACCTCATTGGTGGGGCCTATAACACCCTCTTAAAATTCCAGATGTGCCAGGAGTCGTCCAACATAGGAATCGAAAGATCAGGTTGAGGTATGAAATGGCTGGGCTGGAACAAACTAAAGGCACACAGCACAGCTTGATTGACACAGACAGCAGTTTCTGGTCTTACTTCCACCATGTCAAACTACAACCCCCAGGATCCTTTGGAGGAAGCCACGACAGTTAAATTTGTATAAAATTGGCATCTGTAAAGGTCCGTATAGTTAAAGCCATAGTTTTCCCAGTAGTGATGTATGGAAGTGAGAGGTGGACCATAAAGAAGGCTGATCGCTGAAGAATGGATGCTTTTGAATTCTGGTGCTGGAGGAGACTCTTGAGAGTCCCATGGACTGCAAGAAGATCAAACCTCTCCATTCTGAAGGAAATCAGCCCTGAGTGCTCACTGGAAGGACAGATCCTGAAGCTGAGGCTCCAGTACTTTGGCCACCTCGTTAGAAGAGAAGACTCCCTGGAAAAGACCCTGATGTTGGGAAAGATGGAGGGCACAAGGAGAAGGGGACGACAGAGGACGAGATGGTTGGGCAGTGTTCTCGAAGCTACCAGCATGAGTTTGACCAAACTGAGGGAGGCAGTGGAAGACAGGAGTGCCTGGCGTGCTCTGGTCCAGGGGGTCCAAAGAGTCGGACACGACTAAACGACTGAACAACAACAAGGTTGGAGAAGACACAGGACTCATCCAGACCTTTCAGATAACTCTAATTTTCCATTTTCCTAGAAGGATAAAATCATAGAATTGTAGGGTTGGAAGGGACAAGACAGGGTAACCTAGTCCAACTTCCTGCAATGCAGGAATCTTTTGCCCAATGCCCTGAGACTCAGCTGAGTCCAAACAGTTAATCTGGATTAAAAACGTTTTAGTGTAGACACACCCTTAGATATTAGCATATTCAGGATCCTTAAATTCAGCCCGCCCAGAAATGGCAGCTTTAAGGATTATTCCTTCCCACCGCCCCAATCCCACCAGCCATTTCTTATAAATAAAGGAAGAGGCGAACGTCATATTGTCTTGATAACTCAGAACAGCAACAAACCAACCCAGCGAGAACAAACGAGACCAAGGCCGCAGGTGTAGTTCGTTTTGGTTTTTTTTTCTTTTCTCTTTTTCTTGAATTATTTCTCAGTTTAAAAAATGAAACGAAACAAAAAAAAAAGCACGTTAAAAACAAGAACCCTGGAAAAAAAGGAAAATAAAATGTACAATTTAATTTACTTCCCCGTTCTGAGCATCGACATCAATAATTAATTAATAATTAAAACATCCAGAAGGAAGGGAGGGGGGAGGGGGAAAGAAAGAAAGAAAGAAGAAGGAAGGAAAAAGGAAAGGTTTTGGAAAATGAAACAAAACACAACCCTGCTTGGAACATTCTCTCCTTTGGAAAAGAAGTCCGTGAAGAGGCCGCCGTGTCTGGAGCGGTGGCGGGGGGGGGGCAGGCGGGCGTGAGGTATGCGCGTGGCAAGAAAAATGATGGATCAGACCCCAAGCAATGAAAAAGTTAATACCTCGACCTTCCCCCCTCTCCACATCTTCGTTGAAAGACGGATTGCGCTCTCCACCTCTCCCTTGTTCTTTCTTTTTCCTTTTTCAAACGCTGGGAAGGGGGATCTGTTTCCATCAAAGTCCAGCTTGGTCTGGCTCCTAAACCCCGGCAGACGCGACGCCCGCGGGATATTTCGGAGCCTTGTCGTTTTGGCTACAGGTTGTCAGGAACGGTCCTTCTTTATTTGGCAAAAAGGAGCGAGGGAGAGAAGGAACTGGCGGAAGGGCGGGAAGAAGGAGGGCTGGGAAGGGGCGCTGTCCGTGCTCGGCCCGTCCCGAGTGGGGGGTTTGGGTGTGCTGGGGGTGTTTCGCTTCCTCTGGTCGGGGGTTGCAGTGCGGACAGTGGCCGTGCGTCGTGGCTGGAGGGGGAGAGGGAGAATGGTCTGTGGCACATTCTCGCGGAGCGCTGGGGAAGTTCTGGGCGGAGGAGGCCCTGATGTGCAGGGAGTCTGGTGCCCGTAAAACCTGCTTGGGTTCGTGTTGCCCGGCACACAGCCTAGTCTGGAAACCTGAAAAAAACCAAGAAGGAGCAGACAGTGAAAGCCAGCCATGCTTTCCTCACTCAGCCTGCACTTCAAATCTTCTTTTTCAATTTGCTGTCGTATTTCTAGCTGATGAGCTCCAGGTTACGTACACAGCTCTTCCCCTCTGCCTCTTACCCACACAACAACCCGTGTGTGGTAGGCTAGACTAGGAGATAGGGTCAAATGGGGATTTGAACCCTGGTATAAAGGTAAAGGGACGCGGGTGGCGCTGTGAGTTAAACCACAGAGCCTAGGACTTGCTGATCAGAAGGTCGGCGGTTCGAATCCCTGCAACAGGGTGAGCTCCCGTTGCTCGGTCCCTGCTCCTGCCAACCTAGCAGTTCAAAAGCACGCTAGTGCAAGTAGATAAATAGGTACCGCTCTGGCAGGAAGGTAAACGGCGTTTCCGTGCACTGCTCTGGTTCGCCAGAAGCGGCTCAGTCATGCTGGCCACATGACCCGGTAGCTGTACGCCGGCTCCCTCGGCCAGTAAAGCGAGATGAGCACCGCAACCCCAGTTGGCCACGATTGGACCTAATGGTCAGGGATTCCTTTACCTTTACCTTTATAAAGGTAAAGGACCCCTGGATGGTTAAGTCCAGTCAAAGGCGGCTATGGGGTGCGGCGCTCATCTTGCTTTCAGGCTGACGGAGCCGGCGTTTGTCCACAAACAGCTTTCCAGGTCATGTGGCAAGTAGGACTAGACTGCTTCTGGCGCAACGAAATGCTGTGACAGAAACCAGAGCGCACCAAAACGCTGTTTACCTTCCCGCCGCAGTGATACCTATTTAGGTACTTGCACTGGCGTGCTTTCGAACTGCTAGGTTGGCAGGAGCTGGGGCAGAGCAACGGGAGCTCACCCTGTCGAGGGGATTCGAACTGCCGACCTTCTGATCGGCAAGCCTAAGAGGCTCAGTGGTTTAGACCACAGCACCAGCCACGCCCCTTTGGAACCCCGGATTACCGAATTGGGAGACTAAACGTGTGTTTAGGGCAGCAGCAAAGCAGACTCTTTTCTTCTTATCCCTTATCGCCACCTAAACCAGGGGTCGTCCTATTAAGGGAAGTAATAGTGCCACTGTATTCTGCTCTGGTCAGACCTCACCTGGAGTACTGTGTCCAGTTCTGGGCACCACAGTTCAAGAAGGACACTGACAAACTGGAACGTGTCCAGAGGAGGGCAACCAAAATGGTCAAAGGCCTGGAAACGATGCCTTATGAGGAACGGCTAAGGGAGCTGGGCATGTTTAGCCTGGAGAAGAGGAGGTTAAGGGGTGATATGATAGCCATGTTCAAATAGATAAAAGGATGTCACATAGAGGAGGGAGAAAGGTTGTTTTCTGCTGCTCCAGAGAAGCGGACACGGAGCAATGGATCCAAACTACAAGAAAGAAGATTCCACCTAAACATTAGGAAGAACTTCCTGACAGTAAGAGCTGTTTGACAGTGGAATTTGCTGCCAAGGAGTGTGGTGGAGTCTCCTTCTTTGGAGGTCTTTCAGCAGAGGCTTGACAACCATATGTCAGGAGTGCTCTGATGGTGTTTCCTGCTTGGCAGGGGGTTGGACTCCATGGCCCTTGTGGTCTATTCCAACTCTATGATTCTATGGTAGATCAAATCAATGCAAAGAAATCAGATCATTTCACGTGTTATAATCAATTTGTTTTCTCACTATTAAAAATGGTTCAGTATGGTTTTTATTTTTAATTACTTAGTGGGGGAGGGCACCACCGTTTTTCCAGTGCTTAGGGCCTCTAAAGTAGAGCTGCCATATGTCCAGGATTTCCTGAGCATATCAGAAATGGCGTCTCTGCAGAATTTCCGGAAATTGGACAAACCTGGGCACATGGCAATCGATGTCTGAAGTGTAGATTTTATGCCAAACTTCCTTTAAAATAGTTCCCAAACCTTTGTTTTTGTTGTTGTTGAGATTTTTTTTTGAGGGGGGGAGCTCAACAACTTCACCCCCCCCAAAAAAAACAACAACTTTTGTGTCCCGATTTTCACTTTTTGAAATATGGCTCTGAACCGTGGTTTCCCTCATTCTAGTCTGACACTCCGGCCAATATCCCATGTTGAATGAGTGACCCAGAATCTGCCCAGAGAACCAGTTCTACGCTCACAAGGAACTCCCAGAATCTTTTATGCCGCTTGCAGGCAGAGTACCTGGGGCAACAATTTCACAGGATTTCTCCAGGGAAAAGAGAACTTCTCCAACAGGAATGTTAAATTGGCGTTGGATTGAAAATAAGTGGTATTGGTAGAAAAGTTAATAAGAATATGCAAATTTGGATGGATAATGGATGAAAATACATGGCTATAATAGGTTAAGTTATAGAGTTAAGATAAATGAAAGAGGGTAAGGATTTGCTAAATTGATTATGGAAATGGGAATACAAAAAGGAGAGGTGTGAGGAAGTCAAGGAAATAAGCAAATGAGCTTAAAGATATTGAAAAATGGATTTTTTTTTTAAATTTTTTTAGTTATTTGTGTTCTATATATATTTTTTCTTTTTATGTATTTTTTGGTAATTTTTGCATGTTTGTTGTATTTTTCTTCTTATTTCTTTTTCTGGTCTATGTCTTTTTTATTTTGTAAATCTCTGTTTTTATTCTTTCTATTTTGTAAACTTATGTTTTTTGTAAAATGCTAATAAATATCTTATAAAAAAAAGAGAACTTCTCCAACAGTTTCCTGGGCGGCTCGGTGGGGAGCTCAGCATCAGCTGCGGTTGCAGCAGCCCAGATTTGTTTGTTTCTCCTAAAATGTTTAGCTTTCGTTTGTTTCCTCCTTTTCATTTCACAGCAGCTGCGTTGGCCCCCTGGCCTGCATTTTGCACCCACCCACCCCAAATGCCCCTTTGCACCATTCCAGGGTATTGCGGGGAGCGGGAATTGCAGCTGCCACAACAGCAACAACAAAAGAATAATTTAAAATGTTGGGTACTATTTAGAGAAATTTAGCAGAGAGGAGAGAAAAAGGGATCTCGGGGTGTGTGTATGGAATATCTCCTGCAAAACGTTAGCTCAGCACTATTGGCTGAAGTCCCTTCTCCCCCGCCCCACAAATGAGCCAGCCAGATTCTTGAGGGGCATCTCCCAAAATGCCCCAATCACAAAGCCTCAGTGAGAAATTCCCAGCAGTGGTTTGAAACAGGGCCGGCCCACCCATGAGGAAAGGTGAGGTAACCGCCTAGGGTGGCAGGATCCACGGGGACAGCAGATCCCGATGTAGATCTTTATCCCCACCCCCTTGTTCCTGTTATAGATCTTCACTCACACCCTTCTAGCCTTTTTGTGGTTTGCCTCAGGTGCCAAAATGTCTTGGGCCACTGTTATGTACTGAGTTGAATAGGGTCCAGACTGCAGCAGTCTGATTGGTCCTAGAACAATAGGATCCAAAATGCAGCAGTCTGATTAGTCCTAGAACAATAGGATCCAGAATGCAGCAGTCTGATTGGTCCACAGGACACACCGAATCCAGCTCCAGGTGCAAGTGAATCCACAACCTGATTGGCCTACAGGAGAATCCCGGAATTAGCCAATCACGTGGGGCCCATTGTGTAAATACTGTATATAAAGCAGACATTCTGGGGGGAACTTCCATTCCTCCTCACCACCGTGAGCTGAATAAAGAGCATGAAATCCACTCTCAACTCCGAGTATATTTCAGCCACTCAACGGGGGGGACCCAGAGCCAGCGCCTGTGTGAGTGGGTCCTGTCAGCTGCCCAAGGGTGCTGAGCAGGGATGCCACGCTTGGCTTCAACGAGCACCCGTCATCCTACCGTATTTTTTGCTCTATAAGACGCACCCGACCATAAGACGCACCTAGTTTTAGAGGAGGAGGACAAGGGAAAAAATGTTCTCTCCGTCTCTGCGCAGCACCTCTCCAGCGAAGTGAAGCCAGGAGAGCAAGAGAGATCGGTGCACAATCCCTCTTGCTGTTCTGGCTTCTGGGATAGCTGCGCAGCCCGCATTCGCTCCATAAGACGCACACACATTCCCCCTTTTTAGGAGGGGGAAAGTGCGTCTTATAGAGCGAAAAACACGGTACTTCTGTTTCCTGGAGAACGAGGCCAGATGAACCCACCAGCTACCGCAAACTCCCATGAGATACTCACTTCCCCATCTTGTGTTGTCAGCGGGTTCAGGGCTTTACATGTAGTGCCATTGCCCCTCCATGCCCATTGCCATCCCCATTGGTCCTGGAAACAGAGGACAAAACAGAGTTTGTAAGTGTCCCAGCACCCCACTTCTATTTCACACAGCCAACTGAGTTTGTAGCCAACTAAGCAGACCCATTGAAATAACAGACTCAAATTAGGCTGCATTCACACAGCGGTTTAGTACGTTTCCCTAACTGTTGATTGCCAAGTTGTATTCGAGCTTTTCACACAACGTCAAATCCGCTGCCGGAAATATAGCAGAATATATTGCAAATTTAGCTCCTCTTTTTCTTGTTGTTTGCAAACAGAAACGAGTGCGAAACTTGGGCTACATTCCGCTATGTTTCCGGAAGTGTCGTTTATGTCATGTCAACATTCAAATATAATGCAGAAATTCGCAGTTAGGGAAACATCGGGGGAAACAGAATAAACTACTGCGTGAATGCACTACTTAAAATGCATTACTTTCAAGGACTATACTTTGAGTAGAACTTGCACGGGAGACAACCCATTTATCAGGGCTAGGGGTGAATGAATCTGTCCCTTTTGGTTTCCCTCAGATTCTCATTTTCCAGCCTTAAGCTCAGTTCTCCAAATTTCTGTTAACGGTTTGCAAACCATTATTACTTCTAAAGTCCTCACAAAAAATTGTCAGCATTTTAGCGCAAATGTCTCCAAATGTGCACATGTTTGTAGGCAATTTTGCCTGGAATGCACACTTTTGCAAGCAATATAAGACACTTCATATGTCGTCTTTATCCGATGCAATGAATTTTTCTGCACACTTTCCCTGAATGCACACATTCTCTGGTTGGAGAAGTGCGTCACAATATTCAGAGAAGTGCGAATTTCGAAGAATACCTGCCATTCGGTTTCCCATATTGTTTCAGAAAGTGTGACTGACATAAAGTAAAGGTAAAGGGACCCCTGACCATTAGGTCCAGTCGTGACCGACTCTGGGGTTGCGGCACTCATCTCGCTTTATTGGCCGAGGGAGACAGCGTACAGCTTCCAGGTCATGTGGCCAGCATGACTAAGCCGCTTCTGGCGAACCAGAGCAGCACACGGAAACGCCGTTTACCTTCCCGCCGGGGCGGTACCTATTTATCTACTTGCACTTTGACGTGCTTTTGAACTGCTAGGTTGGCAGGAGCAGGGACCGAGCAACGGGAGCTCACCCCGTCACGGGGATTTGAACCGCCGACCTTCAGATTGGCAAGTCCTAGGCTCTGTGGTTTAACCCACAGCGCCACCCACGTCCCATGTGGCTGTCATAGGTCCATGTTAAAAAATCTGAACCGAACCAGACTGAAGCCCTGGGAGCTCAGGTGCTGGCATCAGTGTCTGCTTTAGTACTGAGAGGTCCCTCGGCTAAGACTGGTGGCAGAGGTAAGCGATTGGCAGATCTGTCAATTTCAGTTTCTCCAGCCTTCGGTTAAGCTCTACCCTTTTCCACATCCGTTTGTGGGATTTTTAAAGTCCTCTCCTCTTGGAAACTTGCCAGCCTTTTAGCGCTGAGAAACTGAGCCCATAGATGGGAAGCTGAGGAACCAAAATCGACAGATCTGCCAATCCCTCTGATCTCACAATCCCACGGTGCCCTCTCTACTTCCCTTGTTGCCTTGAGTTCAGTCGCCACTTACCTGGGGGGCGAATCGTCATATGCTGTTGCCCATCCATGACGTAACCTCCCATTGGCTGCCCATCAGGGCTGTATGGTGCCCCTTGACCTGATTGGACGAAAGGAACATCATCTCAAAAACGCGCTTGCTTTCATGACCCATCGAGGATTTGTGTGAAAATCCGTTGGGAGCTTTCTTAGAAGCCCTCATAGATTCTGCACCTGCTGACGCAAGGCACTGCACACTCTAGATGCCCATCAATAAATTCCATACCAACTGCAAAGTCATCTTTTAGGTAATATAAGAGGGTTTTTAGTTTAGGGTTTCTAGGTATCTGATAATCCTGTCAACTGCTGATTCATTGCCATAATAATAATTTAATAATAATAATTAATAATAATAATTTATTATTTATACACCGTCCATCGAGCTGGGCTTCCCCAGCCACTCTGGGCGGCTTCAAACAAAATATTAAAATACAGTAATGCATCAAACATTAAAAGCTTTCCTAAACAGGGCTGCCTTCAGATGTCTTCTAAAAGTCTGGTAGTTGTTGTTCTCTTTGACATCTGGTGGGAGGGCGTTCCACAGGGCGGGTGCCACCACCGAGAAGGCCCTCTGCCTGGTTCCCTGTAACTTGGCTTCTCGCAGTGAGTAATATCATATCCATTGGGCAGAAGATCAGGTTGATAAAGGCTTACATCTTAGTCCCAGTTAGAGCAGAGAGGGTGTCATGGGACTGGTTTGTAGCAGTGGGGTGAACCAGCTGGGGAACCCCCATGGGAAGAAGGCTCAGAGCCAGGGGGATGGTGGTGGGACATTGATGAGTGGTCAGAGGGAGCAGACAAGAAGAAGAAGAAGAAGAAGAAGAAGAAGAAGAAGAAGAGTTTGGATTTGATACCCCGCCTTTCACTCCCCTTCAGGAGTCTCAAAGTGGATAACATTCTCCTTTCCCTTCCTCCCCCACAACAAACACTCTGTGAGGTGAGTGGGGCTGAGGGACTTCAAAGAAGTGTGACTGGCCCAAGGTCACCCAGCAGCTGCATGTGGAGGAGCGGGGAAGCGAACCTGGTTCCCCAGATTACGAGACTACCGCTCTTAACCACTACACCACACTGGGAGGAGGTGGTGCTGGAAGCTGAAGAGGCAACAGGGCTTAATGAGCAGGGAGAGTCTGTGGCAGAGAGCAGTCAAGAATCAGAGACGGAAGCTGAAGCAAGCGAGTGGGAGGCGGGAGGCAAAGAGGCGGAGATGAGTCTGGCTGGTAAAGAGTCACTGGGGTCTCCCCCTCCTGGAATTAGAAGAGGCATGAAAGGGGCGGAAGAGAGGTTGGCTGCAAGCAGGCAGCGTCTCAGATTGCTTGGGAAAAGCCCTGGAGAGGAGGTGACTTAGACAGCTGTGGGCGTTGGGATACTGCCGGGGAGACGGGGGCATCAGGCAGGCCCCCAGCTGACTCCAGCCACCGGCTGGCAGCCGGTCTCCCTTGGAATAGCATCAATCAGCAACATGAGCCGCAGATATGTTTAGAGCCTCGTGCACGCCCAATCAGCAGAGTGTGTAAATCTTCTCACAGCAGAAGAGGCGGACAGAGTAATGTGTAAGCGTAATGTTCAGCATAGTTCAGGAACAGAGGAAAACATGTCTGCTTCCCTTCGTCTCCAGCAAAACAGCAGAACGCAAAAGCTATATACAAACAGAAGTTCCCAGCAGAGCTGTGCTGGAAGTAAACATGTGACATACAGCAGTCATGCCTGTACCCTTTTAAGGTGGAACGGAACTACCGTATTTTTCGCCCTATAAGACGCACCAGACCACAAGATGCACCTAGTTCTTGGAGGAGGAAAACAAGAAAAAAAATATTCTGAATCTCAGAAGCCAGAACAGCAAGAGGGATCGCTGCACAGTGAAAGCAGCGATCCCTCTTGCTGTTCTGGCTTCTGGCATAGCTGCGCAGCCTGCATTCGCTCCACACATTTCCCCTTACTTTTTAGGAGGGAAAAAGTGAGTCTTATAGAGCAAAAAATACGGTATATCCTAACAGTAGGGAGACAGGGACTTTCAGCCTCAGCAACTGATTTCCACGGAATAAGACCACTGGGAATGAACTGCAAGTTTGAAGGGTGTGATTACTGACTGGCAGGCTCCTGTGACAGAGGGGAAACCTGCAGCTGCCCAGATGTTGCTGCACCACAGCTCCCATCGCCCCTAGCCTTTGGCGTTGCTAGCTGGGACTGGTGGGAACAGTCGTTCGAAACATCTGAAGGGCCCCACATTGGAGGAGGTTGAATTAAGAGAGTGCAGCCCCAGCATCCTGGATCCCACAACCCAACAACCAAAAAAACCCACTTCCCCTCTCCCCGATGGAACCCCATACCTGTGCGGTTTGATTGATCGATCATCGGTTGAACTATGCGCCGCCTGGCGTTAATAAACCTGCAAGAGACATAAGAGGCAGTGGAGGAGTCAGGCACCGACTGATAAAAGGGTCAGAGTTTGGTTTGGGATTTTGTTGCCTCTCTCCAAAACACCGCTTGCTTATTGGCAGCCCAACTCTGGGTCACAGAGCCACACTAAGAGCTTAGGAAGTTGCATGGTACAGAGTCAGACCCTTGGTCCTTCTGGCACAGTACTGGAGGCGGTTGGAGGATGGATGGCGGCTAATGGATTGAGGTTGAATCCTGACAAGACAGAAGTACTGTTCTTGGGGGGCAGGGGGTGGGCTGATGTGGAGGACTTCCATGTCCTGAATGGGGTAACTGTGTCCTTGAAGGACCAGGTGCGCAGCCTGGGAGTCATTTTGGACTCACAGCTGTCCATGGAGGCGCAGGTCAATTCTGTGTCCAGGGCAGATGTCTACCAGCTCCACCTGCTGCGCAGGCTGAGACCCTCCCTGCCCACAGACTGTCTCGCCAGAGTAGTGAATGCTCTACTTATCTCCCGCTTGGACTACTGCAATGCGCTCTACATGGGGCTACCTTTGAAGGTGACCCAGAGACTACAACTAATCCAGAATGCGGCAGCTAGACTGGTTACTGGGGGTGGCCGCTGAGACCACATAACACCGGTCTTGAAAGACCTACATTGGCTCCCAGTATGTTTCCGAGCACAATTCAAAGTGTTGGTGCTGACCTTGAAAGCCCTAAATGGCCTCAAAGACACAGTATACCTGAAGGAGCATCTCCACCTCCATCGTTCTGCCCGGACGCTGAGGTCCAGCTCCGAGGGCCTTCTGGCGGTTCCCTCATTGCGAGAAGCCAAGTTACAGGGAACCAGGCAGAGGGCCTTTTCGGTAGTGGTGCCCACCCTGTGGAACGCCCTCCCATCAGATGTCAAAGAGATAAACAAACTACCTAATTAACCAGCCTCAGAGGTGATGAAGGGATGCAGGTGGCACTGTGGGTTAAACCACAGAGCCTAGGGCTTGCCAATCAGAAGGTCAGTGGTTCGAATTCCCGTGACGGGGTGAGCTCCCGTTGCTCGGTCCCTGCTCCTGCCAACCTAGCAGTTCAAAAGCACGTCAAAGTGCAAGTAGATAAATAGGTACCACTCCAGTGGGAAGGTAAACACCGTTTCCGTGTTCTGCTCTGGTTCGCCAGAAGCGGCTTAGTCATGCTGGCCACATGACCTGGAAGCTGTACACCGGCTCCCTCGGCCACTAAAGCGAGATGAGCGCCGCAACCCCAGAGTCAGCCACAACTGGACCTAATGGTCAGGGGTCCCTTTACCTTTACTTTACCTTCCTAATACCTTCTGACTGATTATCTCAACTGTTTGACTGACTCCTCTTAACAGATTCTCTCACTCTCTCACATCAGACTAGCCCAACCCACAGACTTATCCTCAGATAACCCACAGATTAGGCCCCCGAAAAACAGACTTTGGACATGCCTACCCTACATCATTTAAACACACACACACAGCTAAAAAGTCACCATGGCGTAAACCCAAAGGGCTGCATCCAGGGTGTGTCCTACTCAAAGTAATTGAAATTACTTATCATTACTCACTTAGGTTCATAATTTTTAAATATGTCTACCACGAGCAGAACCTAGTTGGCTGCAACCCACATCAATGAAGAGAACCTCTGGACTGGGCGAAGAAATGGCTCTAAAGGAGCTAAATACCCCTCTGCACCAGCGTTGAGATCCTTACCAGTTATTGACTTGCAATATGGTCAGTCCCGTATCCTGAGCTAGCTGCTTCTTCTGTTCTTCCGAGGGATAGGGGTGCTGTTCAGGGGAAGAGAAGAGAAGTTGGGGAGGGTGTTAGCGAAGCTGGCCCGATATTATCTGAAGGGTTTCGCGGAAGGTTTCTTAAACCACCTTTGAGCTTGGCCCCCGTACATAGCGATTACCCCATGTTAGCATCACAACCTTGGCCCCTAGCATAATTCAAGCACTGAACTATCCAGAGTGCTTTATAGGCTTTGATGTGGACCAGAGCCTTGTGGCCAAAGATTTAGCTAGGGTTGACATACGTCTGGAATTCCCTGGACATAGCTGGTCTTCGGCCCTTGTAAACAGCGTCCAGGCAGAAATCTCTGAAATGTCTGGGGAAATCCGGACGTATGGCAGCCCATGACGGAAGTGTCGATTTTGGCGAACTTCATTAAAAATAACTCAAAAGCTTGGGTTTTTTGAAGAAGAAAAAACTCCTGGCCACATGCATTCCCTTCTCTCTGCTAAACCGTGGCCCAGTTTACTGTATTTTTTGCTCTATAAGACTCACTTTTTCCCTCCTAAAAAGTAAGGGGAAATGTGTGTGCATCTTATGGAGCGAATGCAGGCTGCGCAGCTATCCCAGAAGCCAGAACAGCAAGAGGGATTGCTGCTTTCACTGCACAGCGATCCCTCTTGCTGTTCTGGCTTCTGAGATTCAGAATATTTTTTTTCTTGTTTTCCTCCTCCAAAAACTAGGTGCGTCTTGTGGTCTGGTGCGTCTTATAGAGTGAAAAATACGGTATATGATGAGCAGAAATCAAGTGGCAAAGCTTTTTCGTGGACTGCACCACTTGAGGCTACAGGGGTAAGGGGTGGTCTGGAGTATTTGAATACTGGACCACAGGTAAAATTCCATGGGGGGCCTGGAGTTTTACCAAGTGGCTACGCACAGCAGTGGGCCTCAACGAGGACAACAGGGGCACCCTGAGCATTCCCTGCTGGGCCTGGCCCAGGCTTCCCCAACCTGGTGCCCTTCAGGTGTCATTGAACCTCCACTTCCACCATCCTTGGCCTTGCTGTCTGAGGCCGACGGGAAAGCTGAGTCCCACAGAAGCTGGGTTGCAAAAGGCTGGTCTATTTTAACTTCCGACAGAGCCCTGGAATGATACTGCAATGGGGGCATTTTGTGGGAAATAGACCCAGCTCAAATAATTTTTTAAATTTTATTTTAAAGAGGACCCACAGTAGGCATCAGGAGTAGGCCCTGCCAGGACACAGGGGCCCTAGAAACTGATTAAGGGTGCCATGTGCTAACGCCAGCCCTACCTGCAGAAGTGTTTTGTTGTTTTTTAAGTGGGGGGAGTGTACCAGGGGAATGTGAGACTGAGTCCTTCTTGAAGAGCTGGTTTTCTACATGTGGGGAGAAATGCTGGACCATAAAGAAGGCTGATCGCTGAAGAATTGATGCTTTTGAATTATGGTGCTGGAGGAGACTCTTGAGAGTCCCATGGACTGCAAGAAGATCAAACCTCTCCATTCTGAAGGAAATCAGCCCTGAGTGCTCACTGGAAGGACAGATCCTGAAGCTGAGGCTCCAATACTTTGGCCACCTCATGAAAAGAGAAGACTCCCTGGAAAAGACCCTGATGTTGGGAAAGATGGAGGGCACAAGGAGAAGGGGACGACGGAGGACGAGATGGTTGGACAGTGTTCTCGAAGCTACCAGCCTGAGTTTGACCAAACTGCGGGAGGCAGTGGAAGACAGGAGTGCCTGGCGTGCTCTGGTCCAGGGGGTCACGAAGAGTCAGACACGAGTAAATGACTAAACAACAACATGCTGCATCTCTTCCCACCCCCAAGTGTGGAGTATCCAAACAAGCATGCAACCCCACCAGCACCCTCAAGAAGAGGTCGAGAGAAAAAGCTTCGCTGCTCAATTTTGCCAGCCCTGCACCAACTGAATGTCACAATCTTTCCTTTCTTTTCAGGTTCCTTTTTTGGCCCCTATCTCTTCGCCTTATGTTCCCAACAAATATGGGAACAGATCCTGGTCCCCCGGTTCAGGGATCACCTTCCTTTTCCATGCCCGTCACAAAACCACGTCCCTTTCTTTTCCCCAATTCCCAAGCAGATGTTCCAAGACTCGAAGGTCCCCTGTTCCCGGTATCGGGGGACCTGGCAACTGTCCATCCCCCCCCCATCCTGCCCTCCGCCTATTCTGGCCTTTTAGCTGTCACTCCAAATGATGGATGAGTTGGGTCCTTGCCCACGAGTCACAACCGGGCCTCCGTAGGGGCCCCGACTCTGACAGCCCGGTGACAGATGATCAAAGGTCACCCAGGTCACGCACAGAGTGGGGCAACGGCTATGGAGGCCAACTCTGAAGCCTCTCTCAGGTTTTGAAACACAAGGTCACCACTTTGGGGCTTTCTTCTGGAGCATCGTGGAGATCAGAACTTCCACAGATGCTCCCAGTTTCGCCTATTTGCCAGGAGAGAATGGACTGTCTGATAATTCACGGTTCCTACTTTCCTGTTTAGGGAAGCTTTTAATGTTTGATGCATTACTTTATTTTAATATTGTGTTGGAAGCTGCCCAGAGTGGCTGGGGAAACCTAGCCAGATGGGCGGGGTATAAATAATGAATTATTATTACAGTGGTGCCTCGCAAGACGAAAATAATCCGTTCCGCAAGTCTCTTCGTCTAGCGTTTTTTTCGTCTTGTGAAGCAACCCTATTAGCGGCTTAGCGGATTAGCGCTATTAGCGGTTTAGCGGCTATTAAAGGCTTAGCAGCTTAGCGGCTAAAAGGCTATTAGCGGCTTAGCGGCTTAGAAAAAGGGGGGGGGCGGAGTGAAAAAAAATCGCAAGACTTGCAAGACGTTTTCGTCTTGCGAAGCAAGCCCATAGGGAAAATCGTCTTACGAACAAGCTCAAAAACGGAAAACCCTTTCGTCTAGCGGGTTTTCCGTCTTGCGAGGCATTCGTCTTGCGGGGCACCACATTATTATTATTATTATTATTATTATTATTATTATTATTATTATAAATTATTATTTCCATTTCCAAAAAAGCTTGGGGAAATCCTGATGCACAATTAAACGTAACTTCCTTGTGGGGGGGACTCTTGAATGTAAAAGGGGGAGGTCGAATTCAACTTTAAAATGTATATAGTTTCCCCCCCCCCCCAGTATCTATGGTTTCTCCCAAAAAGGGAGACTAGGAAATATAGGTGTTCAGAGTTTCCCTAGGCTCCCGTTCACACAACTGTAATTGTGTGATTCCCAGGGATCCCTGCGAAGAGGAAATAGCTTCTACACCAGTTCAAGCCTTCAGTGTAGTAGTAAGTACAGATGACAGGCTTTCCTATGAAAGCACATAAAGAAATTGCTATCATCCTTGTTCACTCTGCACTAAGGACCGTGATCCTGCTTCCATTGCCATATAACCTTTCGGGAAGCGGATGAGACAATATAACCCAATAGATCAGGTTTCGTGATGTATGGAAGTGAGAGCTGGACCATAAAGAAGGCTGATCGCCGAAGAATAGATGCTTTTGAATTCTGGTGCTGGAGGAGACTCTTGAGAGTCCCATGGACTGCAAGAAGATCAAACCTCTCCATTCTTAGGGAAATTAGCCCTGAGTGCTCACTGGAAGGACAGATCCTGAAGCTGAGGCTCCAATACTTTGGCCACCTCATGAGAAGAGAAGACTCCCTGGAAAAGACCCTGATGTTGGGAAAGATGGAGGGCACAAGGAGAAGGGGACGACAGAGGACGAGATGGTTGGACAGTGTTCTCGAAGCTACAAACATGAGTTTGACCAAACTGGGGGAGGCAGTGGAAGACAGGAGTGCCTGGCGTGCTCTGGTCCAGGGGGTCACGAAGAGTCGGACACAACTAAACGACTAAACAACAACAGATCAGGTTTCAGTACCTGAAGTCAGGGTGGCGAAAGTAGGCTTAGCTCCCAATCCACGTGAACTCGCCACGAGTTGACGGGGCCTTTTTCAGCATGGATGGCCCCCTATCTGTGGAACTCTCTCCCTAGGGAGATTTGCATGGCCCCTACTTTGCTGGACCCTGAAAACCCAGCATGGGGGAGCCTATGGCCCTTCCGGTGTCATTGGACTCCAACTCCCATCAGCCCTTGCCAGCACAGCCAATGGTCATGGATTATGGGATCGGTAGTCCAACATCCTCTTGAAAGGCTAAAGCTTCCTCATCTCCTGAAAATCTTTTTTCCTCCCAAGCTGCTGTTCAAAACATGGCCCTAAATATTGCGTTAACGGCTGCCTTTTAATGCTGTAAAGTTTAATTTATTTTTAAACTGCTCTTAGTTCTGGATTGCAGCTTTATTGATTTTGGATGATCGCTGGGATCTTGTTCTGATGTCGGCCACCTTGGGAGATTTGCCCTGGGATGTGACTTATAAAAATCCAGGAGAAAAGAAAAAGTACAAAGGCTGAATGCTTAGGATGCAGCAACTTTGATCAAGTTAAGCAGATCTCAGCCTGGTTAGTGCCAGGATTTGAGACCTCTGGGAAACTCTGTGTATCAGAAAGACCGCCTCCTTCCCTATAGACACTCTTGGGTGTAAAGAGTCACAAGTGTCCCAGGAAAACTGGGACATCCCATTTTTCCCCCTACGAGAGAATGGCAGACATTTGGGGTGCCATGATCTTGCGAGATTTCGCGCCACATTTTTCCTTGCGAAAATTTATTGCGGTCGGAGACCAGCTTATAAAACACACTTGGGGGTACAATCCCAGAGGGAAAACAAACATTTAAAACGACGTACAACAATAAATTTAAAATTTATAAATGCGATAAGCGTATAGACACTTAAACTTTAAGATAAGCTTCTGGCACCCATCAGGCTATTTCCCCCTTAACCTCACAAATTCCCCCTAACCTTTGGGTCTCATTCTTTCAATCTTTGTATGAGGACGCTGAACTTCCACTAAAGGTAAAGGGACCCCTGACCATTAGGTCCAGTCGTGACTGACTCTGGGGTTGCGGCGCTCATCTCGCTTTATTGGGCGAGGGAGCCGGCGTACAGCTTCCGGGT